TATTTAAAAATAATAAGAATAGATTTGAGATAAAAATTACTTCATTTTAACGATATTATTATAAAAAGAATGATATAAAATATTATTTTCTGAACGAAAGAAAAATAAATATTTAAAGCAATATTTAATAAAAATTTTAGCAAATCTACTCAACATTTACTACGTTATATATATATATATATATATATATATATATATATATATATATATATATATATATATATATATATATATATTAAATCTACAACATTGATGCCTAATAATAAATGTTTCCTTAAAGACATCACCGATAAAGAGTAAAAATTATTCTGTTTTGAATACGAATATTCTTAGACTACAAATACATATTTTATTACAATTATACTGTAAGGAAAGACTTACACATCATAATATTAATACACATTTACACATCATAAGATAAGATATAGAAGGGACGTTTTCTTTTTTGTGAAGTTTGACTAAGACAACTCGGTATTAGGTATTATATAGAGTATTACCTACTTTTAGTGATCACACAAATTTCATGGCATAAAGGATATCTATTTATATAATTCGGATTTTGCTTGAGACTATACAAAGCGGGTTATTATTGAAAATTAAAATTAAACACACTTTTATTTTGTCTATTGCCATGATACCCTATAAAAGTTATTTTTCTATCCCTTATTTATTAGTTTACTGTTAACTACCTTATAAAGCTCTATGCTTAAGTGTAACTTATTGGATAAATATAACATTTTTACGTTTTTAATGCAAACTTTATTTTATATTAATAACCATAACTAAATATTGTTTTTTTACAAAAGGTACAGGATGAACTAATTTCTTTCTTCACTACTTATATAATATAATGTTTAAATAAGTTCCGTTAATTTATGTTCTACGACAATGATATCAGTACTGCTTCTATTAGATAGAAATGCGTACAAATAACACATGAGCAAAAAGATATGTAGCTCTATCACATAATTACTAAATAATTACAAACTGTGCCATTTGTTTACGAATTCGAGATGGCAATCGAACTCACAGTCCACCGGATGGTAAGTGGCTACTGCCGCTCGAGAACCGCTGCAACCAATTTTAAACAATGAAGGCTACAGGGTCTTGTCACCTCTGAAGACTAACACATTACATTCGACGCTCAATATTCCAATTATCTTCAAAATTTATAAATTCGTCACCTTTATTACCAATATAATTTCCTCCTCTGAGATTCAAGCGGTAATTCAATTTAGGAACCCTAGTACGTGAATCTGTTGGCTTCAGTAAAAAGGGGAATTACATTTAATGTTTACTTCTGAAGTTCCAAAATTGTCGGCACATTACAATGGAAATTATGTACATTGTAAAGAATAGGATAGTATGCAGTATGAAGAGTTTACGGAATTTTTACGGAATCTCATATTCCCATTACATAATATTTTTTTTATATTTTTTTATTTAGGTTTAATATTGGTATAATCTCATTAATGAACAAAAGTATATTATATTTAGGGTCGATTTATAAACCCTCAGATTAAAAAAACATTCATCGAAAAAATACAACATAAACACATTATTAATATCAGTTATTTGAATAAAATAGTTTCGCTTTTATATTCTGTCTAGATAGCTTTTACCCGACGATTCAAAATCAGCCTACATTGCCATAAACAAACACAAAAGCAAACACATATGTACAATTTTGTTTGAGACTAAATATTTATCTGTTAACTTAGTATGTATTTATTTAAATGTTTTCTGCTATATCATTCATTTACATATTACTCTTTATGCTTGGTGTATTAACTTACAGATCATATTTTTTTCGAAATAAAATGGGAAAAAAAAACTAAAAATATCATAATGATTACATAGACACTTCAAAAAAGAAGTTTCATTTGATTCATTATGATTCACTAAACTACAATAGTTTTACTCACCGAGCCGACAAAAGTATATCAGAAATTAAACAAATATGTTTTAATTCTGCTCACATTTTAATTAGTAAGGAACAGCAAAAAAAAAAGGATTTAAATTACATAATAAAAATGTGAATATATATCTTGTGCTTTTTAGTAATGATCAAAAATCAAATAAGTTTTACTTCAATATTTTACAAAATAACCACTACGCTGTAATTATAAAATTTTGTTAAAAATATTTTTTATTATAAAGTGTCAATTTTCTTGCTTCTCAAAAAACATTTTAAATAAGTGTATTTAAAGTTTGAGGTGACGTTAGAGTACGTTTTAACTTCTTGAAACCTCTGCAAATATACTGTAATTATTATATAAACAAAGATTGTATGAAGATAGAAAGGTAAACGAAAAAGAAAATACGCGAATAATATAGTTAACTTAATAATTATTAATTAAAATGACAATAAATCACAACTGAGCCATGTATCTTGTAGACATTCCATAATGAAACCGTGTAAAAGTAATACAAAATATGACTTTTTTTTAAATGTTTAACTTATGAAAAAATAAACAATATCAAACAGTTCCAGTACATAACAGTATGTTGATGTTTTAAAATTCTCGCAGCTTTAGTGCCTTTATTCTACTAAAGATAAATATTTTTATTTTTAAATACGTTTAGATTTTAACATATTTTATCAGAAATATTTTCAAAGAAATCTTATTTTAAAATCATTCAACTTGTATGAAAACACATTTCTAAAATAAAAAATGACCTTGTCAGAAATTTTATGTGTATATACCAATATAACCTGGATCCTAGACCCCTATTAACTGGACACCGAAATTATTAAAGGTAACACATTAATTTTCAAGATTTACTTGCACTTCTTTTGATTTTTATTAAGTACCCTATTGAAACTGTTTTACTGTATGTTCTACAAAACCTTTCGCTATCGATTTATATATTGACCTTACGCAAACTTATCTATTGACAGCTTTTAATTCATTGAGCATTATACTGCTTAAAATTTCAATATATGTATGTATTTTTTCATTTCCAAATGACAACAACTTAGTTTTGTCGGCATCGGATTGTACACAATGTGTATTAAGTGCACGGTGATCGACGTCATTTATTATTAAGTATTTTTTCTTAGTGTCTCTAAAATCAAAATTTTTTTAAATAACTATTATCTAAGAGGTTTAACCTTATATTATTAATCTATTTATTTATCTCAATTATACACTAATAATTTAAAATTTAATTTCAGCACTATGTATACATGTGCGTTAGATATAACCTACACATTTATCTTGTTTGTAGAACTATTATTTCTTCATTACCGTTATATATTTTTCTTTTATTTTCACCTTAATACAATAAAAGATTATCTTATGCTATTCTATAATTAATTATATAATAATTTTCCAATAAATTATAAGTCATAAAAGTTGTAAATCGTTTGTATAAATATAATAAAAATAAGGTATTTCTAAAACTTTAATGGTCATAATAAAAAGAGAATTGTAATATTGACAAATAATTTTTAAATCTTATCATAACAAAATTTTAAATACACATTTATTATATATTATGCAGATAACTTCGTTGAACGGTATAATATAAGAATCATCAAGGACGATAAAATAATTTTGACTTTGTTTACAATTTCGTTCATTTTATTTAAACAAAGCATATTATTATGATCACAAAAAATAATAAAATATTTAACCATCTTATCACTTTAATTTAGTACCTCGCATCCATATTGTATATTGGGTTACATATGCATGCTTGTAAATAATTTACATTAATTATTCTAAATATCTTATTATTTTGAGTATTGTTCATTATTTTATTAGCCATTTTATTATTATATCTGACATATATACATACCAAGAAAAATATTTATGAAGGTTAAACAATGAATGAACAGAAGCATACTCGCAACTCAATAATTTTGTAAAGAAAAAAATAACAACTTTAAATGATCTCCCCTACATTTATTTAATCCTACATTTTAAGTTAGTCAAACTTTTTGTTTAAGGATTTATGACTGCTTGTATTTTTTTTTTCATTAATTAAATAAATCTTTAATAAATATTAAATAGTACAATAATAATTAGACATTTATATAACTAGGAGCGTATTTGTTATTTAATAAATACTGTGCATAAATCAAACATATACTTTACAAGAACCTAAAAAATGTACAAATACTGAAAATAATCATAAAGATTTTTCTATTTTCTAACAAGAAAATGATAAAATATATTTTTTTGTACGAAGTTAATACTTTTTTTTAAATAAGCCCTAAATATTAGTGTTGTAATTCACCATTGATAGAATTTATACATATTTTTACCTTACCTTTATGTTTTGAGAAGTCTTTTATGGATAGTTACCTATTTTAGTTTTTAATTTATAGCAACTAAAACAATATTATATCATGGTACAAGTAAATTTCTAGAAATATAAAAATATTCTTCTTTTTATTTTTATTAGTTTGAATTTAGGTTAATTATAATAATTTATCAAGTAGTCCATTTCAGCTATTTGGTTTTACACCAGATCATCTTCCTCGTATCATATAATATCTCTTGAAACATGTAACGAAGAATGTGCAAGAAAATATGACAGTGGAGCAGCGCTTGAATCATTATGGGACGAAACTGAAGGTAATGCCGGATCAAATGTAACGCGTGACGTCCGCTGCGTAACAGTCGGAGTGCGGGCGTGTTGTTATCTGCTTTTAGACACGGTGTGATAAGGAGCGTGAATTGTAGCCACACTACCAACTTCAGTGCGACTTAGCAATTCTTCAGGATGTTCATGTTCGTGCTCCCTGCGTTTTTCTTCATTTGTGTAGTAATGGGCAGCACGACGCCTTGTACAACATAATGCAGCTGCAACTGCTGATAAGACTGCGATGCAGAGAAGCATTAGTCCTGCAATTACGCTCATCTGTGCTTCGTGCGTACTTGGACATGGATCCAATACGCTGAATGTTAAATCAGCAAACTTTGTTCCGCGCAATCTTAACGGCGAATAGCAAGCTAGTTGACGAATAGTGCTATTAAGGACAGTGGTTGTCATAAATACAAGCATTGTCCAACAGAGCATTGATCGCAGCGCCAACTATTTTTGGACAAGTCCACATGAGCTATTGCTTCAAGTCTTTGTAAATCTTCTTCGTCTAAACCTTGAATTTTGTTACGCGATAGATCTAGACGTTGAAGGAATTTCGTTTTAGTAAGTAGCTTGTAAGGAAACTTTGTAAGCTTATTCCATGATAGATCTAATCCAACAATATGGTCATTATAAGTAAAAAAATTTGGAGGAAGTTCTTTCAAAGATAGATTCGCTAGGCCAACGCTATGTATTTCTGGTAAAATCTGTAATACAATAGCGATTTCATTCAATGGTAAATTGTTACCACTGAAATTAATAGTTTTTAATGTTTCCACAATTGGTGCAAATGTCTGCAAATGAAATCTATCTATTTTGTTGTGACTTATGTCTAAATGAACAAGTGAAGTTAAATTTGTAAGAGCAGCAGGTGCTAGTAATGCTAGTCGGTTATGTGCAAGTGTTAATAGACGTAGTTCACAATTTCTTCCAAACATATTGTCCACAACTACCGAGAGTTGGTTACCATCTAATCGTAATTTCTTAAGTTTCTTTAAACTTATAAATTCATCAGAAGTTAAATATTTAAACTGGTTTTCACCCAGGTCCAATTCCTCCAAATGAGCTACTAGATGATAAATTTGGGTATTGATTCGCCTTAAAAGACATCGCCTGCACTTAAATAACCTTAAGTGCTGTATATCCTTGAATACATCTGGATTCAAATCTTCTAAGGGATTATCACTGAGATCTAAAAATGTTAATTTTGCTAACATCCGAAAAAGTCTTGGCACTAAAGTGGATATTCGGTTATTTGATAAAATCAAGGTTTTAAGTGCTGTCAAATGCCTGAAAGTTTCACTGGGCATTTGTTCTATATTATTATGGCCTAGATTTAGTTCTGTAAGATTAATAAGTCCTCTAAAATTATCAGCTCCGATGCTTGTTAGGTTGTTGTAAGTGAGATTGATCAGTCTTAAATGCTGCAGACCCCAAAATGAATACTGTCCAATAGAAGGTACGTTAGAGTTAACTATGTGCAACTCTCGAAGATTGACAAACGGAGTGGGTTGAGTAAATATTGGGCCAATAGTAAGAAAGTTGGGACGATCTCTTGGGGCTGATATAACAATTACTTCAGCACCACGATCGAAAGACTCTACAGGTATATTATGCATGCCTCCTTTTGAGCAAACTATACGCAATATTTGCCCCAATTCAGGGTCAAATGCTGTACGGCAAGTACATTCGCCTGGACATGTAATTTCCGCTCCCTTTACGTTCAATGACCATATTATTGACATTACAAGAAGAACTGTGTAGCTTGGTTTCCTGCAACAAAAAAAAAATAAAAATTGAGTGTATGATTCAAATACTTATTAATTTTATTGTTTGGCTTTCAAAGAATGGCTTGCATTTTTAATGTTTTTATTTATAAATGAATTCTTTATTTAAAAATGAAAATTTTAAGCTACGTTCTGAATCCTAACCAAGTATAAAAAATAATCACATAAAACTGGTCGGCATCTGCTGCACTAGTATATCAGCTACATCAGCAGAGTGGGACGTGTAGAGGCTTTAACTAAACTAACTTTAACTTTAAATATTATCATTTTCAGCTTTTAAAACGATATTTTAAAATATACTTGACCTACCCGAAATATTTAAAATATAATAATATAAAATTAACTTTGTTGCTCAAATTGCGTTAACGTTTAATTTGTAACAAAGACATTCGTTTGGCATGCTAGAAGCAATAGCCATTATGAGGCGGTAAAAAGTTAATATTGAATTATAACCCGTGAACTTTTCTCATAACAAGTCTCGCCCGGGCATATTTCATGCTGTCAGATTATTTATGATTTCATGTCGCTAACTGAATTATATTTTACTTTGCTATGTAAAATTTTTCATTAATTATTTATTAACATAACCCCTGAATTGCAAATATTTATTATTAAAAAACTAATCTCTTACGTACCATCATCCCTGGTTGTTGTAAAATTTAACAGACACAAATTAGATAGGAGATAGGAAAATTTCGGGTTCGTTCCCCGTCGGCAAAAATGAATTTTTAATTGCAATTTGAAGTTCTGTTTTTCTATATGGTATAGTTATTAAATATTTTGAGAACAAACTCATCCATAACGCATTGAAGCAGTGCTACGTCTTCGAAATTAGAGGACACTTGTGCTCATCTGTAGGACGTATGAAGAATGTACATTTTCGGTTTCGGGTTAAAGAAATGTATTATTACTCTTAAAGAAAACATTGTTCACTTATAAAGAGATTAAGTATACACAAGAAATAATATTAACATTATTTACACGGTAGCATGCATTATATAACTTTCGCTGTTTTTTTGTATTACCTTAATTAATTTGTTTCACTTTTAATTTACTTAATTTGAACATATGTATGTATTTATAATATTACACTCTTTTAATAATATGAATATTCTATTGATACGATATTCACAAGTTTAAAATTGAAGATAAGCAGTTATAATATTTTATCTATAGCATATTATTTTAGCTTATTCTAAAAATGTTTAATATTTTTACAATTTTTTACACAATTCGGTAGATTATTATGTTAAAGTAAACCTTCACACATTATATTTTTACTGCCATAAGATCTCGTCCGAGGCTGCCAAACTTGAAGCTTGTTTTTGTTTCTAAGGTTTTATTCTCTTTGTTTTAATTTTTTTTAATATAATAAAAATTTCTAAGGTTATGTGTAATATACTTTGGTGTGAATTTTATTGTCGAATGTATGTTTTTAGATATTAGTTTTTCAATAATAAGATATTTTTTGTATGTATATAATTGTTAATGTTTAAAAATTTGATGTTTTTTGTATGACTGAGATAATTGTAATGAGATAGTGTTTTTATTAGTTTATTTTGTGCTCGTTGTAATTGTAACTGACTTATGTGCTAACGTTTGTGCGGTTGAAACCCATATCTCTTTAGGGTACTCCGGGTTTGACAACTTTACTCTTTACAACTTGTATAATTAGCTCGCTTACCGCAGTTAGGTCAAGAGCAAATAAAATGGAAAATACGAAGAGGCCATATAATACAGAAACTTAAAATAAAACCTGCAAGTTACGGCCTACTTCCTCGGAAGTAAATCAATCTCGTTAATTCCAGAGACTGATTAATTGACGCGGCGTTGTGACATTAACATTTACTGATGTAATCGCGGTATAAAAGTATTATTTAAGTTTTCAGTTTTAAAACTTAAAACGCAATATAATATCCATAGACAACGTTTTACTTTCATAACATTTTACGTTTTGTCTTCAGTTTGTGTTACTTATTAATTGTAATACATTTAAACGAGCAATTCTTGTATATATAATAGGAATCTCGGAAACGGCTCCAACGATTTTCATAAAATTTAGTGTCCAGGGAGTTCCTGGGGCAATAAATCGATCTAGCTAGGCTTCACTTTAGAAAATGTCGTTTTATCCGTGTTTTCAGACAATGAAAAACTGCTACAATATCATTAGAACAAGAAGATAAATTTTAACAATTCGTTAATGATTATAATAGCTCAAATGGGACATCGAACGGTCCCGAAATCGTTGTGCCCTGGTTCGAGTCGAGCCTTTGCTTCGATATTTTGCCTTTTTTTTTCAAGTTGCCTTCTTTTGTGAGAAATCTGTTATTTCGAGACCCTTTTTTAGTATTTTTATTGTTTATTAAAAACACGAAAATTTAAATTAAACTAATTGCACTCAAGATTTTTATTCAAATAATCAGTTCAGTTTTTTCTATTATGTCGGTAAGATCAAAAATATTAATCATATTTCATCAGTATGTAATTTGTATCTAAATATAATTTCCAAGACACACGATTTCAAAAAAAAAAAGAAGGTACTGATATTAAGGTAGTATGTAAAGTATGCACGCAACTGATAGCGTCCGTCTTTATATGTTTGTTTCGATCTTTTGCTGTTTTTACGTATTTTCTTAAGCATGCAGTTTCTTCTCGGATAATGTCTTTACAAAAATTTAAAAATGAAGTTGCAATTTTGAAATAAAACATTGTAATTAAAGTGTAACACTATAAATATACCGTTTCAATGAATGGTGGCGATTTGTTTGTATAATCTGAAGTGATGACGTATGATTTCAGAAGTTAATCGATCGACGAATTTATCGGGCTACTAGTAGTTTAGTAGTAGTACTCGGGAATACACTCGTGCACTTTGCTCCTGCGCATTGAGCTTTTACCGTATAGTGGCGTTTTAAGAATATATCCTGTCCCATATCATCCCGTTGGTGTCGTAAGAAGCGAGTTAGGAAAACAAATGAAGAAATGGGCAGCAAAATTTTCCTGATAGCGAGTAAAAATAAAAGAAATGGGCAGCAACGTCTTCCTGATAGCGACTAAAAATAAAGGAAACGGGCAGCAACGTCTTCTTGATAGCGACTAAAAAGGCAGTTTATGGGCGGCGTCTGTGTTCGGCGCCGAACTTTGATAGACTGTAACGGTACATCGCTGCTCTCCATTGAAATTGGCTGCCAAAGACGGAAATTTGCTCTGGAGGACATTATTATTATTCACTAATTTGTATTTTAAATTCAGTTTTTGCTGCGCTAACTCAACTGACGTGTGGTTAGAGACATCGATTAGTAAATATTTTCGTTGTTAGCATATTTTTGTAATTTTAATGCCTCATTATAAATACAAGCATTTCATTACGTACATTTTATATGCAACTAGTTTAGAAATTATGAGAATCCAGCCTATCAAGTTTTTGATCGTAGGCTTAAAAGTACTTCTTAGATAGTTATACTAAAAGGAATAAACGGACCTCAAGGGTTATAATTGTAGTCAAAAAAGTTTTGCTTAAAGAATTTACTGAAATAGAAATTTTTAACACTACATGTCACTTCAAGGACTAAGACGATTCTAACGACACCTCATAACTTTAAAAACCCATCAAGAATTTTAATATACACACATTCATACATGCACACATACATACATTCACACATACACACAAACACTTTAAAGCATTACCCTACTACTGGCGTAGTCGAGTACATAATTACTCTTTCAAGATTCATAATCTTACTAGTACAACAATATTTTAACTTCCTTATTTATATTCATCATATCTAAGAAAATTTCGAAATTTTTTCATCATCACAGACCTTTAAAACTCCGCTCCCGTCATAGGCCTCCCATATAAAATTGTCACGTTTTCCAAAGTGTCCGCGCGCGTCGGCTCGACTGACATCCGCAGTTTTTATGATTTAGAGTTGTTACCGGGAGGATGCTGCGGCCCGACCATTTCGTTTCCCTTTGTTGCCTCTTAGAGCACCCGTTGGATGCTATAGTATTATTTATTATTTTACAAAATTTACAAGTTATTTCTTAAAAATTCGACATTTAGTCACCAGTAGTAGTACAATGTATATAATTGTATGTGAGAAAGAGACTTTGTTAAATATGGGTAAATCTGCTAACAACTTAAAAGATGGCACATTCTTTGAAAGATTTATGTTCCAAACTTGAATTGAAAAGGCCTAAAAAGATAATTTTTAATTATATTAAGATGATTTAATTATATTAAGATGAGAGACTTTGTAAAATATGGGCAAATCTGCTGACACCTTAAAAGGTGGTACATTCTCGTTCTTTGAAAGATTTATGTTTGAAACCAGAATTAAAAAGGCCTAAAAAGATGACTTTTAATTATATTAAATGATATTTAATAAGAGTAATATTTAATAACACTGTTTCTTAGAATATTACTTCAAAAATTTTAAACTTATTAACGTGCTTTTATAATCTTCGCGTGTATCTATTTAATTTTCACCAACTTGTAATCTGCCAATTGACTTGATAATTTGCCCTCGTATCGAGAATCTATGATAATAAAATAACGTGATAAATTTAACCTAGCGTCCCGATCAGGATCACCAGGATTTGACAAAATAATCCAATTTTTTTAAATTATAATTTAATTACTTTTATGTTAGGTTAGCTGAACCCAGCAGAGGTTGTCCTGCCAGTTAATATCATAGGTTGTGTTTATTTTTTAAATTTTATCCAATGCAATTTAATTTACCAATTACCGTACTTGATGGAAAACAAAATTTTATTTGTTTCTAGTTTTTATATCAATTTTTTTTTAGTTAATAATTATAAACCTTCTCCATTTAGAAATACATATTATATATTCCAATTGTCATGGTGATCGATCAAATAGATTTTGAGTAAAACGATTCATATATTACAAACATCATCTTTTATGAATAGATTGACGAGCAAGTTTAGTTCATTAACACGTTCCCAGCGGCACAGATTTATCTGTACTTTCCATTAATGCGTTACGAGACGTTTGAAACCTCGTTCTGAAACAGAGGTTGTAGCGGCATGAGGCTTAGTAAACCCCACCGCCCACATGAGACAAAAATCCTTTTTTTTGGCGCCAAATAAGGCGAATCGTATGGTTTTTGTCGCGATTATCATTATCAATGACTTGATTAACCTAAATCTGCCGCCGCCTGTGGGCAGATTATTTAGTTTAGATTCTATAGGTAAAATAAAATGTGGGGTCTTATGTACCCCATACCGCACTGAAAAAGGGCAGTTTTTCATATTGTTTAGTGATGGAAAAAAATGTCGATTTTATTTAATTGTACTTATGTATGCTTTTTATCAAAACAGGGCAAACTATATAATATTTTTGCAACCGATACATTCTGTGAGAATTTTATTTGCTATTTTGTCAGCCTCACGACTTGATAAGAAGGTGCGAAGTTTTTCATAGCATCCTACACATCTCCTTTTCTTTGATCCTTTTTCGAGATGACGTGGA